AGTGATCCCGCTATGGAGGTCCTTGCTCAGGCACATCCTGATATATGGGTGACAACACTCTGTTCCTGTCTCCCAGTTGTGCTCCTGTGTTGTCACCCTGGTGGTCCCGCCAGAAATGTTCTTGTTCAGGCACTTCTTCTTATAGGGTGACAATGCTCTGCCCATCTCCAAATCGTGCTTCTGTGTTGTCACCCTGGTACTGTTCCTGTCTCCCAATTGTGCTCCTGTGTTGTCACCCTGGTGATCCCGCCATGGAGATCCTTGCTCAGGCACTTCCTGTTATAGGGTGACAACGCTCTGTTTCTGTCTCCCAGTTGTGCTCCTGTGTTGTCACCCTGGTGATCCTGCCATGGAGATCCTTGCTCAGGCACTTCCTGTTATAGGGTGACAACGCTCTGTCCATCTCCAAATTGTGCTTCTGTGTTGTCACCTTAGTAATTCCGCCAGAAAGGTGCTTTCTCAGGCACTTCCTGTTATAGGGTGACAACACCAGAAATAGGGTGACCATGCAATGTCTCTGTCTCTCAATTGTGCTCCTGTGTTGTCACCTAAGTGATCCCGCTATGGAGATCCTGGCTCAGGCACTTCCTGTTATAGGGTGACAACGCTCTGTTCCTGTCTCCAGGTTGTATTCCTGTGTTGTCACCCTGGTGATCCCGCCAGAAAGGTTCTTGTTTAGGCACTTCTTCATATAGGGTGACAACGCTCTGCCCATCTCCAAATTGTGCTTCTGTGTTGTCACCCTGGTGATCCCACTATGAAGATCCTTGCTTATTCACTTCCTGTTATAGGGTGACAACACCAGAAATAGGGTGACAGTGCAATGTTTCAGTCTCTCAATTGTGCTCCTGTGTTGTCACCTAAGTGATGCCGCCATGGAGATCCTCGCTCAGGCACTTCCTGTTATAGGGTGACAACGCTCTATATCTGTCTCCCAATCGTGTTCCTGTGTTGACATCCCGGTGATCCCGCCATGGAGGTCCTTGCTCAGGCATTTCCTGTAATAGGGTGACACCGCTCTGTCCATGTTTCCCAATCATGCTCCTATGTTGTCGTCCTGGTGATCCCGCCATGGAGGTCCTTGCTCAGGCACTTCCTGTTATAGGGTGACAACGCTCTCTCCCTGTCTCCTAATCGTGCTCCTGTGTTTTCATCTTGGTGATCCCGCCATGGAGGTCCTTGCTCAGGCACTTCCTGTTATAGGGTGACAACGCTCTATATCTGTCTCCCAATCGCGCTCCTGTGTTTTCATCTTGGTGATCCCGCCATGGAGGTCCTTGCTCAGGCACTTCCTGTTATAGGGTGACAACGCTCTATATCTGTCTCCCAATCGCGCTCCTGTGTTTTCATCTTGGTGATCCCGCCATGGAGGTCCTTGCTCAGGCACTTCCTGTTATATGGTGACACCGCTCTGTCCATGTTTCCCAATCATGCTCCAGTGTCGTCCTGGTGATCCCGCCATGGAGGTCCTTGCTCAGGCACTTCCTGTTATAGGGTGACAATGCTCTGTTCCTGTCTCCCAGTTGTGCTCCTGTGTTGTCACCCTGGTGATCCCGCCAGAAATGTTCTTGTTCAGGCACTTCTTCTTATAGGGTGACAATGCTCTGTCCATCTCCAAATTGTGCTTCTGTGTTGTCACCTTAGTAATTCCGCCAGAAAGGTGCTTTCTCAGGCACTTCCTGTTATAGGGTGACAACACCAGAAATAGGGTGACCATGCAATGTTTCTGTCTCTCAATTGTGCTCCTGTGTTGTCACCTAAGTGATCCCGCTATGGAGATCCTGGCTCAGGCACTTCCTGTTATAGGGTGACAACGCTCTGTTCCTGTCTCCAGGTTGTATTCCTGTGTTGTCACCCTGGTGATCCCGCCAGAAAGGTTCTTGTTCAGGCACTTCTTCATATAGGGTGACAACGCTCTGCCCATCTCCAAATTGTGCTTCTGTGTTGTCACCCTGGTGATCCCACTATGAAGATCCTTGCTTATTCACTTCCTGTTATAGGGTGACAACACCAGAAATAGGGTGACAGTGCAATGTTTCTGTCTCTCAATTGTGCTCCTGTGTTGTCACCTAAGTGATGCCGCCATGGAGATCCTCGCTCAGGCACTTCCTGTTATAGGGTGACAACGTTCTGCTCCTGTCTCAGAAAGTCGGTGATCTGGTTGTCGGTGTCATTGATCACATCAGTGCTTGCAGTTCCGGTGGCAGAAAAAAGGAAGTAGAACCGGAGGCATTTTTCTTGCATAGAACTGCGCTGGAACGCGGTAAAACGCATAAAAAACACTGGAATGCATCAAAAACGCACCGGAACACTTCCAAACGCACGTACAGAACCACAGCTGGACTACGTTTCTGTAGTGTGAACCGACCCGAAATAGGGACATGTGCGTTTTTTATGCGTTTTACCGCGTTCCAGTGCAGTTCTGTGCAGAAAAAATGCCGCCTGTTCTACTTTTTTTTTTTTTTTTTTCTCTGCACCAGAACTGTCAGCACTGATGTGATCTCCGACACCGACAACCCGATCGCCGACTTTCTGTGCATTTTGGATGCAGAAAAAACTGAACCGCATGGAGTGTGAACCGGCCTTAAAGGGTAACTCCCCTCATGTAAGAACAAAAGCAGCACAATGGAACACTCCGGGTCATGAACAAAGACACAAGTCTGTCTACTTCAACCAATAGGAGACTTCCGCCTGCAGATCCACGTATTCCTCACAACCAATAGCAGACATCCGCATGCAGATCCGTGTATTCCTCACAACCAATAGGAGACATCCGCATGCAGATCCGTGTATTCCTCACAACCAATAGCAGACATCCGCATGCAGATCCGTGTATTCCTCACAACCAATAGGAGACCTCCGCCTGCGGATCCGTGTATTCCTCACAACCAATAGGAGACTTCCGCCTGTAGATCTGTGTATTCCTCACAACCAATAGGAGATCTCCGCCTGCAGATCCGTGTATTCCTCACAACAATAGGAGACCTCCGCCTGCGGATCCGTGTATTCCTCACAACCAATAGGAGACCTCCGCCTGCAGATCCACGTATTCCTCACAACCAATAGGAGACCTCCGCCTGCAGATCCACGTATTCCTCACAACCAATAGGAGACCTCCGCCTGCAGATCCACGTATTCCTCACAACCAATAGGAGACCTCCGCCTGCGGATCCGCGTATTCCTCACAACCAATAGCAGACATCCGCATGCAGATCCGTGTATTCCTCACAACCAATAGGAGACATCCGCATGCAGATCCGTGTATTCCTCACAACCAATAGGAGACCTCCGCCTGCAGATCCGTGTATTCCTCACAACCAATAGCAGACATCCGCATGCAGATCCGTGTATTCCTCACAACCAATAGGAGACCTCCGCCTGCAGATCCGTGTATTCCTCACAACCAATAGCAGACATCCGCATGCAGATCCGTGTATTCCTCACAACCAATAGGAGACCTCCGCCTGCAGATCCGTGTATTCCTCACAACCAATAGGAGACCTCCGCCTGCGGATCCGCGTATTGCTCACAACCAATAGGAGACCTCTGACTGCAGATCCGTGTATTCCTCATATCCAGAGGGGGATGGCATTAACAATCGCCTTTCCTCTCCAATCTGCAGATCCGTCATTTCCAGACAATTCAGCGCCATACATGTCTTCTGCTTCCCCGGCCAGCTTGCTGCGGAGATGGACCCTCTGTGTGGAAGCAGCGGTCTCTCTGGCCCCCCCCACTGAGTTGGATGTAGAGCACTCCAATCAACAAAACTCCTGTTCCCAGCTGATTGGAGGGCTCTGACTCAGCAGGGGGAGGGGTCTGTTGGACCTCTGCAGAGAGACCACTGCTTCTACATAGAAAGCAAGCTGGCCGCGGGCAGACTCTTCTACTCGGGCTGTGGCTGCTTCTCAAAGAAAACCAACTGTAAGACATTGTGCCCCATCATTGGTGTCAGTGGGAGGAATAGTGCCCCATCATTGGTGTCAGTGGGAGGAATAGTGCCCCATCATTGGTGTCAGTGGGAGGAATAGTGCCCCATCATTGGTGTCAGTGGGAGGAATAGTGCTCCATCATTGGTGTCAGTGGAAGGAATAGTGCCCCATCATTGGTGTCAGTGGGAGGAATAGTGCCCCATCATTGGTGTCAGTGGGAGGAATAGTGTTCCATCATTGGTGTCAGTGGGAGGAATAGTGCCCCTTCCTTGGTGTCAGTGGGAGGAATAGTGTCCCATCATTGGTGTCAGTGGGAGGAATAGTGTTCCATCATTGGTGTCAGTGGGAGGAATAGTGTTCCATCATTGGTGTCAGTGGGAGGAATAGTGCCCCATCATTGGTGTCAGTGGGAGGAATAGTGCCCCATCATTGGTGTCAGTGGGAGGAATAGTGTTCCATCATTGGTGTCAGTGGGAGGAATAGTGCCCCTTCCTTGGTGTCAGTGGGAGGAATAGTGTCCCATCATTGGTGTCAGTGGGAGGAATAGTGCCCCATCATTGGTGTCAGTGGGAGGAATAGTGCCCCATCATTGGTGTCAGTGGGAGGAATAGTGCCCTATCATTGGTGTCAGTGGGAGGAATAGTGCCCCATCATTGGTGTCAGTGGGGGGAATAGTGCCCCATCATTGGTATCAGTGGGAGGAATAGTGGCCCATCATTGGTGTCAGTGGGAGGAATAGCGCCCCATCATTGGTGTCAGTGGGAGGAATAGCGCCCCATCATTGGTGTCAGTGGGAGGAATAGTGCCCCATCATTGGTGTCAGTGGGAGGAATAGTGCCCCATCATTGGTGTCAGTGGGAGGAATAGTGCCCCATCATTGGTATCAGTGGGAGGAATAGTGCCCCATCATTGGTGTCAGTGGGGGGAATAGTGCCCCATCATTGGTGTCAGTGGGGGGAATAGCGCCCCATCATTGGTGTCAGTGGGAGGAATAGCGCCCCATCATTGGTGTCAGTGGGAGGAACAATGTCTGAAACCTTTAATAATGGCGCTCCCTCTGGCTCCTCCCCCAGGGACGTATGACTTTCCCGGACGTGGCGGTGGAGACGGTGTATGACGTTCTCCATGACATCGAATATCGCAGGAAGTGGGACGTGACGATGATTGAGACCCGGGACATCGCCCGCCTCTCTCTGAACGCCGACGTCGGATATTACTCCTGTAAGTGTTAACACACCGGGTGGGGGGGGGGTGATGTGGGGGGGCGACATTCTTCTGCTGACTCTCCTCCCCTCCCCCTCCTAGGGAAGTGCCCCAAGCCTCTGAAGAACCGCGACGTGGTCACCCTTCGCTCCTGGCTCGCATTGCCCGACTCGTATACCATCATCAACTTCTCCGTCAAAAACACGACGTAAGTCGCAGCTCCTCCCACAAATCGATCGTTCATCATCGTCCAATCCCAGGGGGACCCCGCCCCATTTTCTGTTTGTAGATATCTGCAGCTTTTATTTCAATGATCCCACCAAGAAGGTCACTTCCTGTTCTAGGGTGTCAACGCTCTGTCCCTGTCTTCCAATTGTGGTCCTGTGTTGTCACCCTGTCACATGGGCATTCATGTAGGTCACTTCCTGTTCTAGGATGACAACACTCTGTCTTTGCCTCCCCATTGTGCTCCTGTGTTGTCACCCTGGTGATCCTGCCACGAAGGTCCTTTTTCAGGCACTTCTTGTTATAGGGTGACAACTTTCTGTCCCTGCCCCAAAATTGTGCTCCTGTGTTGTCACCCTGTCACATGGGCATTCATGCAGGTCACTTCCTGTTATAGGGTGACAACGCTCTGTCCCTGCCTCCCAATTGTGCTCCTGTGTTGTCACCCTGGTGAGCCTGCCAAGAAGGTCCATTTTCAGGCACTTCCTGTTACAAGGTGACAACGCTCAGTCCCTGTCTCCAAATTGTGCTTCTGTGTTGCCACCTTGGTAATGCCGCCAGAAATAGGATGACAACGCTCTGTTCCTGCCTCCCAATTTTGCTCCTGTGTTGTCACCCTGTCACATGGGCTTTCACTAGATTTTTTAATGGAGGTCACTTCTTGTTATAGGGTGACAACGCTCTGTCCCTGCCTCCCAATTGTGCTCCTGTGTTGTCACCCTGTCACATGGAGACTACAAGCATCCCATCAGTCGCAGGGCCGAGAAATGACAGCTAACTTGGACCAAACCCAAGCCTGAAGCCCAAGCTTATTACTTCTGGTGATCCCACCATGAATGGTCCTTCAGCCTCTTCCTGTTATAGGGTGACAACACTCTTTCCCTGTCACCGAATTGTTCTCCTGTGTTGTCACCCTGGTTTGCACAGGAGCCTACAAGCATCCCATCAGTTGTGGGGCTCAGCAATGACAGCCAACTTCAGACCAAACCCAAGCTCCTCATTACTGGTGATCCCGCCATGAAAAGGTCCTCGTTTGGGCACTTCCTGTTATAGGGTGACAACACTCTGGCCCTGTTCCCCCATTGTTCTCCTGCGTTGTCACCCTGTCACATGGGCTTCCAATGGAGACAACAAGAGGACATCTCAGGACACATTACACAGACACTGTGCACGGTTGTCACCATCAGGAAACCTGGAGTTTGTTCTGTGGCAGGGGCATCCCGTCAGCGAGGCAAAGCGGGGCGCTCAGTAGGGGGCAGCACTGAGGCCGGAACATCCGTACTGTTGCCTTGTATGCTCCTGGGGGGCAGTAAAATGACAAACTATCCACGCTCTTGGCACAAACCTGTCCTTTTCTCAGAGTCGGGTCTCCTGATGGTGATGGTGTAGTCTCCATCGGAAGCCCATGTGACAGGGTGACAACACAGGAGCACAATGTGGAGACCGGGACAGAGCGTTGTCACCCTATAACAGGAAGTTACCTTCACAACATTTCTCGTGGTGGGTTTACTGATGGTGACAACAGCGGACCCTGTCTGTGTCATGTGTGCTGAGAAGTCCACTTGTAGTTTCCATTGGAAGCCCATGTGACAGGGTGACAACACAGGAGCATAGTTGGCAGAAAGGGACAGAGCGTTGTCACCCTATAACAGGAAGTGACCTTCATGGCATTTCTTGGGCCAGGTTTACTGATGTTGACAATAGTGACCCATGTTTGTGTAACATGTGCTGAACACGACCATTTGTAGTCTGAAGCACATGTGACAGGGTGACAACAAAGGAGGACAGCTGGGAGGCAGGGAGAGAGTGTTGTCACCGTGTAACAGGAAGTGACCTTCATGGCATTTCTCAGGTTGGGACAGTGACAACAGCGGACCCTGTGTATGCAATGTGTGCTGAGAAGTCCACTTGACAGGGTGACAACACAGGGACACAATTAGGAGACAGGGACAAGGCGTTGTCACCCTATAACAGGAAGTGTCTAAACAAGGGCGGCTACAATGGGATCACCAGGGTGACAACACAGGAACACAATTAGGGGACAAGGACAGAGCGTTGTCACCCTATAACAGGAAGTGTCTAAACAAGGACCTTTATTGCGGGATCACCAGGGTGACAACACAGGAACACAATTAGGAGACAGGGACAGAGCGTGGTCACCCTATAACAGGAAGTATCTAAATAAAGACCGCTATGGTGGGATCACCAGGGTGACAACAGAGGAGTACAATTAGGAGACAGGGGCAGAGTGTTGTCACCCTATAACAGGAAAAGCCCAAATGAGGAACTCCATGGCGGGATCACCAGAAGTGACAGGCTTGGGTTTGGTCCAAGTTAGCTGTCATCGCTGGTCCCTGCGACTGTTGGGATGCTTGTAGTCTCCACCAGAAGCCTATGTGACCGGGTGACAACACAGGAGCACAAATGGGAGACAGACAAAGCGTTGTCACCCTATAACAGGTAGACGGCGACCACAGCGGACCATGTCCATGCTGTGTGCTGAAACGGTCAGATGTAGTCTCCAATGGCAGTGCATGTGATAGGGTGACAACACAGGAACACCGTTGGAAGACAGGGACAGAGCGTTGTCACCCTATCACAGGAAGTGACCTTCATGGTGGGATCATGGGAAAAAAAATACCTTGTGAAATGACATCAATGGAAATGTAGGACTTTGCTGGATCTCAGACTTTCCATGTGTCCCCTGCAGATGTATCCCCCTCGGAAGGACATGGTCCGGGCCGTCTCCTATATGGCGGGCTACCTAGTCAGGTCCAACGGCCCCGCAAGCTCCACACTCACCTACCTGGCACAGGTGGACCCCAGAGGTAGGTGCACCCCCTAGGAATAGACACTGAAATGCTGACAGGAGTGAACGGAAGGGTCTCCGAGGAGACGGATCTGATTGGTTGGTTGGATCGGGAAAATTGTGTGAAGAAGCTATTGGACTCCTCAGCAAGACTTTAGAATGCGGGCCATCGGACTGAGGACATCTACTGGCCGGAATCAAGTACTGCGGGGGGGGGGATTTCTGCACAGAAGGGGAATGTGGCGGCCAACTGGCTTTGTTGTGGGTTTTTTTTTTTTTTTTTCTTCAATGGGATATTTATTTTTATCTTGTTTTGCTTTTAATTTTTTTTTTTTTAAAAAAAAATTCTTTTTTTTTTTTTATTATTTTTAATTTTTTTTTTTTTTTTTTTTTTTTTTTTTTTTATTTTTATTTTAAAAAATATTTTTTTTTTTTTTTATTTTTTTTTTTTTTTTTAATTTTCTTTTTTTTAATTAAATTTTTTTTTATTTTTCTTTTGTTTATTTTTTTTTTTATTTTTTTTTTTAGGGTGTGCATTGAGTACTAGTCACCCTATGTGACAGGGGGGGTCAATGTTAGCATGCTGGGTGACCTCAGTAACTTATAGTAAGGCGGGGGAGGGGACGGTGCGGTTTATTTTGATCGCGCCAGAAAGGAATTTAAATTGAATTTTAATTAAATCGAACTTTAAGGAGGTGTGGCCTAACAAGATCGTGTTTTTTTTTTTTTTTTTTTTTCAGGTTCATTACCAAAGTGGGTGGTGAATAAATCTTCCCAGTATTTGGCACCAAAGGTAAGAATCCGAATGTAGCTCCGTAATTTGGTTCCTGAGGTTCTCCATCGCTGGCTTTTGTCTCTAAATTGTAACTTCAAAGAAAATTTGCAACGACGGAACGTGGCGGTCAGAGGAACCTACAGCTGCCGCGTTGCCCCCTCCCCCTCTCCACCCCAGGATCTGCCAATCAGACATTTATTGCCCTGAAGCCCCCCATGAGGTGACCTGTTGGGGAGATTTCTACTCCAGTGCCGGGACAAGGTCATCCACTGACCATGGTGAAGATGCCAAACTGACCCCTAACCCCTCACGGGTTTTTACTTACCCATTCAACCCCTTCAGTTGGGACTCCACTATCGTTCTCAGCTCTGGCTCCACGTGGACCTGGAAGTACGCAATGACTTCATGGGACCTTCTTGTGTGGATTGTGCAAAGCGGCATCCGTGTGATGAGGGAGGTGCTGGGCTCTGCTCGGGATACTTGAGTTCCTCCACAGCAAAAAGGGTCTTCACCAAACTGGTCATCTACTGTATGTGTTTATGGAGCTGGCTTTGTACACGGGGGGACAGAAAAGGGTCTTCACCAAACTGGTCATCCATGTCTTTATGGAGTTGGGTTTTCTACACGGGGGGACAGTCATGGGGGGGACAGAAAAGGGTCTTCACCAAACTGGTCCTCTATGTCTTTATGGAGCTGGCTTTGTACACGGGGGACAGTCATGGGGGACAGAAAAGGGTCTTCACCAAACTGGCCATCCATGTCTTTATGGAGTTGGGTTTCTACACGGGGGGACAGTCATGGGGGGGACAGAAAAGGGTCTTCACCAAACTGGTCCTCCATGTCTTTATGGAGCTGGCTTTGTACACGGGGTGACAGTCATGGGGGGACAGAAAAGGGTCTTCACCAAACTGGTCATCCATGTCTTTATGGAGCTGGCTTTGTACACGGGGGACAGTCATGGGGGGACAGAAAAGGGTCTTCACCAAACTGGTCATCCATGTCTTTATGGAATTGGGTTTGTACACGGGGGGCAGTCATGGTGGGACAGAAAAGGGTCTTCACCAAACTGGTCATCCATGTCTTTATGGAGTTGGCTTTGTACACGGGGGGACAGTCATGGGGGGACAGAAAAGGGTCTTCACCAAACTGGTCATCCATGTCATTAAGGAGCCGGCTTTGTACACTGGGGACAGTCATGGGGGACAGAAAAGGGTCTTCACCAAACTGGTCCTCCATGTCTTTATGGAGCTGGCTTTGTACACGGGGGACAGTCATGGGGGGACAGAAAAGGGTCTTCACCAAAACTGGTCATCCATGTCATTATGGAGCTGGCTTTGTACACGGGGGACAGAAAAGGGTCTTCACCAAAACTGGTCATCCATGTCTTTATGGAGCTGGCTTTGTACACGGGGGGCAGTCATGGGGGGACAGAAAAGGGTCTTCACCAAAACTGGTCATCCATGTCTTTTATGGAGTTGGGTTTGTACACGGGGGACAGTCATGGGGGGACAGAAAAGGGTCTTCACCAAAACTGGTCATCCATGTCTTTATGGAGCTGGCTTTGTACACGGGGGACAGTCATGGGGGGACAGAAAAGGGTCTTCACCAAAAACTGGTCATCCATGTCTTTATGGAGCTGGCTTTGTACACGGGGGACAGTCATGGGGGGATAGAAAAGGGTCTTCACCAAAACTGGTCATCCATGTCTGTATGGAGCTGGCTTTGTACACGGGGGAGACAGTCATGGGGGAACAGAAAAGGGTCTTCACCAAACTGTTACCACAAGGCTGGAGGAGCCCAATGTTTTTTTATGATGGAGGATCACCGGGACCTTTCACTGGAGACACCTGAACTCCATCATTCAGAGGGGGGGGTTCATATACTTTTGAACCTGTAGAAGGTGTGACGGTTGGGTGTCCAGAATATGGATTGAGAGTCTCTAGAACCACGTCCACCCCTCAGTCTGACCCCGCTGACCTCTCTCTGTGTCTTCTTAATCCAGATTCTTCGGAAGCTGCACAAGGCGTGTCTCCAGTACCCGTCGTGGAAGAAGAAGAACGAGCCGGACTTTAAGCCGTGGCTAAATCCAGAGCAGAACACGCTTCCTCGTATATCCCTTAATGAGCTCTCCATGCAGAGGGCGGAGTCCCTGGAACACGTGGACGAGAGTCAGCTGTGCGAGATCTCCGAGGACAAAGGTGACCACAGCGAGGAGGAGGAGGACAAGACGTCCCGGAGATGAACATGGACAAACCGTGGCCAGATGGGAGCACATGGGGAAGGGGGCCGCCCTTAGGGGCCAAAACATACTTGTGGTGCGGTAACGTGTTGCGGTGCCGTTCGGTTTAAATGGCGCCCCAACGCGCTAAGGCGCACCGCTCTGATGCAGATGCCTTGCGTTGCGCCGCCACGCTGCTAGGGGAAAAAATGCGGCTGTGCACTGGCAGCCCAACAGGCGACCCGAACTCGCTGATAAAAAACATGACGTAATGTACATGGATGCAGAAATGCGCAGAAACGGCGAATGAGCCCCAAATCGCAATGATTTTATATCATCGTATGTAACCATGGCCTCTATTGGCCGCCATTAATGCTGAACGTGGCACCAGCTGCAGTCATGGGCTTCACTCCCTTCTGCATGTGCATGGTGTGTACAGCAATTTGTCGCTCTGGGCGCGGTGCATCCTGACGGGGAAATGTGAATGAGCCCCAAATCGCTATGATTTTCATATCGTCATTTTGTAACCGTGGCCTCTATTGACCGCCATTAAACCTGAACGTGGCACCAGCTGGCTGCAGTCATGAGCTTCACTCCCCCCCCCCCCCCCCCCGTCGCATGTGCATGGTGTGTACAGCGATTCGTTGCTCTGGGTGCGGTGCATCCCGACGCAGAAACCGGGGAAATGCGAATGAGCCCCAAATCGCAATGATTTCATATTGTCGCATTTTGTAACCGTGGCCTCTATTGGCCGCCATTAAAGCTGAACGTGGCACCAGTTGCAGTCATGGGCTTCACTCCCCCTCTGCATGGTGTGTACAGCAATTCGTTGCTTTGGGTGCGGTGCATCTCGACGGGGAAATGCAAATGAGCCCCAAATTGCAAAGATTTTATATCATCATATATAACCGTGGCCTCTATTGGCCACCATTAACGCTGAATGTGGCACAAGCTGCAGTCATGAGCTTCACTCCCCTCCGCACAAGGTGTGTACAGTAATTCATCGCTCTGGGTGTGGTGCATGCCAACGCAGAAATGCGCCCACAATGACACCGTGCGTCCTCATGCGCCCCCAAAGCCGTAGTCTCAGCTCAAGCGTCAAATTGAAAATCCATGAAGCGAACTTCTTTTACTGAGATCCCGGAATTCGGTGCAGATCTTTCATCTGTTAGATTTTTGTCTTTTTTAACTTTTTTTGAAGTTTGATTATTTTAATATTTCAAAGCAAAAAAAAAAAAAAGTAACATTTCCGGATCCGTCTTTCGCTACATTTTATTCCATATTGACAACAGAATTTACTGACGTTCTCATCCAGGATATGAAGGATTGATTGCTGTCGGGATTACATTTTTTTTCCCGCACTGAGGGCCGGTTCACACTATAGAAAGGCGTTCTGGAAGCGTTTTCCACATTCGCGTTTTTGACGCATTCTGGTGCGTTTTTTTTATGCATTCAGTTCATTTTTTTTACCCTCCTTTTTTCTTCAATTTAAATAGGGAAATGTGCGTTCCGGTGCGTTTGTACTGTCTGCCTTTGTATTGTACATTGTACAGCGCTGCGCTCTATAAATCCCGTATAATAATATGTTGCCTTTAATATCTGTTGGCGATGAAGATCTGAGAAGTGAGCGTGAATTTTTTTGAAGATGTATTCACTGATATTTGTAGACCTCAATATTTTAATTCTGGAATATTTGTAAATTTTTGTTACTATTAATTTGTTGTCCTGTAAATGTGCTGCTCAGTAAATACCCGAAATATTACTGAAGACTGAACTATATATATATGAGATTTACTTATTTGTTAATTTTTTTTTTTTCTTTTTATATATATATATATATATATATATATATATATATATATATATATATATATATATATTTTAAGATTAATATATTTTTATTTAAAAGAAAAAAAAAACATATTTATATATATATTTTAAATAAATTACTGTATTAAATATATATATATATATGTATAATAAATTCATATATATATATGATTTATTTTTTCTTTCTTTTTAATAAATATATATTTTTAAATGCATATAATTTAAGAAAACATTTTTAAATAAAAAAAACATGTATATATATATTACATTTTTTTATAAATATATTTGTAAAATATTTATTTAAAAAAAAAAAGTGTGTATGTATGTGTATATATATGTGTATGTATGTATGTGTATATATATGTGTGTATATATGTGTGTGTATATATGCATGTTCATATATATATGTGTGTGTGTGTGTGTGTATATATATATAGGTATATTAAAAAAAATATTTTAATTATAAAATATATATATATAATTATATATTTTTAATACCGTAATGTATTAAAATATATAAATGTAAATAAATTACTGTATTAAAAATGTGTGTATGTGTGTGTATGTGTATATATATATATATATGTGTGTGTGTATATTTCTAAAAAATTATATTAAAAAAAAGTGTGTGTATGTATATATATTTTTTCTTTTTTTTTAATACAGTAATTTATTAAAAAAATTAATTATTTTTATATATATATATATATATATATATATATATAAAAAAAAATATATTTAAAAAAAAATTAATAAGAAAAAACTATATCTCATTTAAAAGGGAAAATTTTTTATATATATATATATATATATATATATATATATATATATATATATATATATATATATATATATATATATATATATATATATATATATATATATATGATATGAGCCCATAATGTGTTTCTTCATTTCCATTGATCATCCTGCAGATCAGAAAACAACAAAGCATCCCCATAGGACTCTACCGCCACCTGCTGGAAAGATTTCAGAACGCCCCTTTACATGTAAACTCCAACTAAATGCTATTCCGTTTGCTCGGTACGTCGTTCTATATCAGGGGACTCCAAACTATGGCCCTCCAGCTGTTGAAGTACTACAAGTCCCATTATGCCTCTGCCACTGGGAGTCTTGCCTGTGGCTGTCAGAGTCTTGTGAGGCCTCATGGGACTTGCAGTTCCTCAACACCTGGAGGGCCATAGTTTGGAGACCCCTGGTCTATATCATAAGCAACTGACATTTTTTTTTAATCCTTGTTTCCTCCTTCGTGACATCTCCGTGCTGCCGATCTCTCGCAGCCTCTTTACAGGTATTTCCTATCTTCAGTGCCCAGCTTCCCAATGGTGATTTCTGACACTAACCTTCCTATGAGCCCTAAAAATGGCCGGAACTTAACAGGCTTCACCTCTCCTAGACTTCTATAAGATTTTCCTCTCCTTTCCTCGGTGAATTGAACCCAGAAAGATTCACGCATCCTTAGTGTGGTTAGATCAAGATCCGAGTTTATTTACAGCATAGAACGTCCGTACAGCTTCATCAATGGAGTACATCGTCCATATTGTCATGATGTAATAAAGTTTTGTACATCTAGGACCACGTTGGTCAGTCGGTTAGCCAATCTATTCTCATCTTCATTGCCCTTCCCCCACCATTCCATTCTAGCCCCGGATAAGGTTGGCACTTACACTGTGTTCGGACCCAGGAGAAATTCTGCACTACACATGGTGGGAGACCACATGGTCCTCCTAACTGGACTGGGTTTGGGTCTGCACATTGTCTGCACTACATCATGGTGGGAGACCACATGGTCCTCCTAACTGGACTGGGTTTGGGTCTGCACATTGTCTGCACTACATCATGGTAGGAGACCACATGGTCCTCCTCCTAACTGGACTGTGTTCAGGTCTGGACATTGTCTGCACTGCATCATGGTAGCTGACCACATGGTTCTCCTAACTGGACTGTGTTCAGGTCTGGACATTGTCTGCACTGCATCATGATTGGAGACCACATGGTCCTCCTCCTAACTGGACTCTGTCTGCACTGCATGATGGTAGGAGACCACATGGTCCTTCTCCTAAATGGACTGTGTTCAGGTCTGGACATTGTCTGCACTGCATCTTGGTAATTGACCACCTGATCCTCCTCCTAACTGGACTGTGTTCAGGTCTGGACATTTTCTGCAAGCCCATGCACTGCATCCTGGTGGAGACCACAGATTCCTCTATACCAAGAAGTATTTTGCAGTAGTTACAATGGAACCACAGAATAGCAAGGGGTCTCAGTGAGTATACCTGGGTCAGAATGGGGTTAAAGCTCTACGTCATGGCAGGAAGGTACATGGTCATCCTCCTCCTAATGTTAATATGTGTTTGGGCCTAGAGATTGTCTGCTAAACCAAAGCACTTCATCATGGAAGAAGACCACATTGTCCTCCTAACTGGCCTGTGTTCAGGCTTGGACATCATCTGCAAGCCCAAGCACTGCATCTGGGTAGGAAACCACATGGTCTTCCTCCTAATGTGACTGTGTCTGGACCTGAAGATCGTCTTCTAGGCCCAAGCACTGCCTTATGATAGGAAACCTCATGGTCTTCCTCCTAACTGGAGTATGTTCGCAGCTGGAGATTGTCCACTAGGCCAAAGCACTACATCATGATAGGAAACCTCATGGTCTTCCTCCTAACTGGAGTATGTTCGCAGCTGGAGATTGTCCACTAGGCCAAAGCACTGCATCATGATAGGAAACCTCATGGTCTTCCTCCTAACTGGAGTATGTTCGCACCTGGAGATTGTCCACTAGGCCAAAGCACTGCATCATGATAGGAAACCTCATGGTCTTCCTCCTAACTGGAGTATGTTCGCACCTGGAGATTGTCCACTAGGCCAAAGCACTGCATCATGATAGGAAACCTCATGGTCTTCCTCCTAACTGGAGTATGTTCGCATCTGGAGATTGTCCACTAGGCCAAAGCACTGCATCATGATCGGAGACCACATGGTCTTCTTAAAGTTACTGTTTTCAGAACTGGAGAATATCCACTTGGCCAAAGCACTGCATCATTTGGAGATTAGGGCATGGGGGAGATTCAAGTAGAATGTATGGGGGTTGTAAGGGGCTTCTTGATTTTTAATGGCGGCCCTGCGTATTGGCACCCAGAAGAACCAATGATGGACAATCTGGAAAATAGGGCATAAGGACCTACTTGCCAATCCATTGATGTGGGGGGGAGGATTCAGGTAGGATGTATGGGGCTCCATGATTTATAATGGCAGCCCTGCATTCTGGTACATAGTAGAACCAATGATGGACAATCTGCAGAATAGGGCATGAGTACATATTGACCAATGTTTTGGGGGGTCTAAATTCAAAAAGGTTACGAACCCCTGATGGTAGGTCTTATCTTCTGGTTCTTGTGTCCTCACCCCTGCCGGTAACTGTCTCTTTTATGTTGTTCCTGGAGAGGCGACATTGAACAAACACTGGCCAGACCATGGCTTGCATGTTAATGCACATTACCAGAAATCAATGTCCCACCAAACAAACACCAGGAATGTCCATCCCAAAGTCCACCAGGAATGTCCATCCCAAGGTCCACCATGAATGTCCATTCCAATGTCCACCCTGAATGTCAATCCCTATGTCCACCCTGAGTGTCCACCCCTATGTCCACCATGAGTGTCCGTCCTAATGTTCACCATGAATGTCCGTCCCAAGGTCCACCATGAATGTCCATCCCAAGGTCCACCATGAATGTCCATCCCAAGGTCAACCATGAATGTCCATCCCAAGGTCTACGCTGAGTGTCCATCCCAAGGTCTACACTGAGTGTCCATCCCAATGTCTACGTTGTGTGTCCATCCCTATGTCAACCATGAATGTCCATCCCAAGGTCCACCATGAATGTCCGTCCCAAGGTCCACCATGAATGTCCGTCCCAAGGTCCACCATGAATGTCCGTCCCAAGGTCCACCATGAATGTCCATCCCAAGGTCAACCATGAATGTCCATCCCAAGGTCAACCATGAATGTCCATCCCAAGGTCAACCATGAATGTCCATCCCAAGGTCTACGCTGAGTGTCCATCCCAAGGTCTACACTGAGTGTCCATCCCAATGTCTACGTTGTGTGTCCATCCCTATGTCAACCATGAATGTCCATCCCAAGGTCCACCATGAATGTCCATCCCAAGGTCCACCATGAATGTCCATCCCAAGGTCCACCATGAATGTCCATCCCAAGGTCTACCCTGAGTGTCCATCTCAATGTCCATCTTGAATGTCCATCCCAATGTCCAACAAGGACATGTCCATCTCAGTCTGCAGAATTCTACACATCGGAAGGGAACGGCGTCACACGATCTGCAGATCAGCGTTCTCTCCCAGTCCATATTTCGTCTTGTGTTCATGGAAGAGTCTGAGCAGAGCACGTTTATACATGCTGTGATAGCGGTCCACCACCTCTGGGCTGGGGTCTTTTATCTGAGGGACAGTGACCGGCTCCCCAACTATCCAAACACAAAAATAGAAAAAGAAGAAATGGATCAAAATTTCACTGCACACTGTGAGCTTCACACAATGTGCGTTAGAAGCTGCAGCAAGTCAGACAGAGCTCAGTTCCTGGCTGGAGGACATCTAGCATCATCTAGTGCATTCCTCCCCAGCCTGACTGTCCCTGGCCCCACCCCTTTCATTCGATTTCAGTTTTTGGAGGCTCAGCATCACATGTGGGTGTTACGTAGGGTGGTCTGCATGCAAGTACAGCCTGCCTTGGAACACCTACTCCTCCAGACTGATACTCACCTATCAAAGCATTTAGATATTTACATAAGTCCTCCCAAAGTTGATAGTATTGAGACCAAAGTTGTGGGCTAATATTGCGTCCACTGACACCAATGTTGGGGGTTATTATTGCGTCCACTGACACCAATGTTGGGGGTTATTATGGCGTCCACTGACACCAATGTTGGGGGTTATTATTGAGTCCATTGACACCAATGTTGGGGGTTATTATTGAGTCCACTGACACCAATGTTGGGGGTTATTATTGAGTCCACTGACACCAATGTTGGGGGTTATTATTGAGTCCACTGACACCAATGTTGGGGGTTATTGTTATTATTTGCGTCCACTGACACCAAAGTTGTGGGCTAATATTGCGTTCACTGACACCAATGTTGGGGGTTATTATTGCGTTCACTGACACCAATGTTGGGGGTTATTGCATCCACTGACACCAATGTTGGGGGTTATTGTTGCGTCCAATTACACCAATGTTGGGGGTTATTCTTGCGTCCACTGACACCAATGTTGGGGGTTATTCTTGCGTCCACTGACACCAATGTTGGGGGTTATTCTTGCGTCCACTGACACCAATGTTGGGGGTTATTCTTGCGTCCACTGACACCAATGTTGGGGGTTATTATTGTGTCCAATGACACCAGTGTTGGGGGTTATTATTGTGTCCAATGACACCAATGTTGGGGGTTATTATTGCTTCCACTGACACCAATGTTGGGGGTTATTATTGCATCCACTGACACCAATGTTGGGGGTTATTATTGCATCCACTGACACCAATGTTGGGGGTTAATCTTGCGTCCACTGACACCAATGTTGAGGGTTATTATTGCATCCACTGACACCAATGTTGGGGGGTTATTATTGCATCCACTGACACCAATGTTGAGGGTTATTATTGCATCCACTGACACCAATGTTGGGGGTTATTGTGTCCACTGACACCAATGCTGGGGGGTTATTATTGCATCCACTGACACCAATGTTGGGGGTTATTGTTGCGTCCAATGACACCATAGTTGGGGGTTATTATTGTGTCCACTGACACCAATGTTGGGGGTTATTATTGCGTCCAATGACACCAATGTTGGGGGTTATTGTTGCGTCCAATGACACCAATGTTGGGGGTTATTATTGCATCCACTGACACCAATGTTGGGGGTTAATCTTGCGTCCACTGACACCAATGTTGAGGGTTATTATTGCATCCACTGACACCAATGTTGGGGGTTATTGTGTCCACTGACACCAATGCTGGGGGTTATTATTGCATCCAATGACACCATAGTTGGGGGTTATTATTGTGTCCACTGACACCAATGTTGGGGGTTATTATTGCGTCCAATGACACCAATGTTGGGGGTTATTGTTGCGTCCAATGACACCAATGTTGGGGGTATTATTGCATCCACTGACACCAATGTTGGGGGTTATTGTGTCCACTGACACCAATGCTGGGGGTTATTATTGCATCCAATGACACCAATGTTGGGGGTTATTATTCTGGAGGTGTTGTGGCCCACAGTTGAGGTCGGCTTTAATTCTCCAGTTGACCCTCCACTGCCTTGGGGATTCCATACAGTGCCTGGAGAGGGGAAGTGCTCTGATTGGACACTGAACTCCAGAGACTTCAGCGGCCATCTTGGATTAGGGAACCTTTTATATAGGGGAAGCTGCTGTGTCATTTTCGCACACTTCTGGGCCAGGACCCCCAGGTGACGCAACATGTCTGCAGGAACTCAGATCCAGACCCAAAGGGGAGAAGAGCTGCTGCAGACAAGGATGGATGGAGGATTGGGCTAGGGGGGGCGGTACTATTAAAGGGCTTTTCTATCTCAATGCAGAGAACGCACCTTTTCCCTTTACAGCCACATTAATGAAGACAGCAGAGCCAATCATGTGATCAGATGTATTGATGGTGACACTTACCAACGGTGGTGATTGGCCGGGAGTACGGGATGAACCCCTTGGAGTCGGGCGACATCAGTCCTCGGCCGTAGAAGAAGCACGGAGCAAAGCCAAAGAGTTTCTGGAATTTGCACTGAAGTGAACGCAGGAAAGTTCCCTCCGAGAAATGGATCTGCTGGTAGAGGTCCGTCTCCCCGAAGGTGAAGGAGGGGACCAGATCCGCCCTGTACAGAGAGAAGAGAGCCGCCATCACCACAGACCCCAACAAGACGGGGGAGGGGCCAGTGGGGACAATACCTATCTCCTGCTCTGTGATTGGATCAAGACCACCGGACAGAACCCCAGGAATGGTCATCGTCTACCAGAAAGAGAAAAATTCCCCTCTGAACTCTGCTAGTCCACTCTACACCTAGTAACCTGGAGAACACCTGAATCACATGATATGGAGGGGATTGGAACACCTGAATCACATGATATGGAGGGGAATGGAAGACCTGAATCACATGATATGGAGGGGAATGGAAGACCTAAATCACATGATATGGAGGGATTGGAACACCTGAATCACATGATATGGAGGGATTGGAACACCTGAATCACATGATTGGGAGGGGATTGGACACCTGAATCACATGATATGGAGGGGATTGGGACACCTGAATCACATGATAAGGAGGAGATTGGTACACCTGAATCACATGATATGGAGGGGATTGGTACACCTGAATCACATGATATGGAGGGGAATGGAAGACCTAAATCACATGATATGGAGGGGATTGGAACACCTGAATCACATGATTGGGAAGGGATTGGAACACCTGAATCACATGATATGGAGGGGATTGGAACACTTGAATCACATGATATGGAGGAGATTGGTACACCTGAATCACATGATATGGAGGGGATTGGTACACCTGAATCACATGATATGGAGGGGATTGGAGCACCTGAATCACATGATTGGGAGGGATTGGAAAACCTGAATCACATGATATGGAGGGGATTGGAGCACCTGAATCACATGATTGGGAAGGGATTGGAACACCTGAATCACATGATATGGAGGGGATTGGTACACCTGAATCACATGATATGGAGGGGATTGGAACACCTGAATCACATGATATGGAGGGGATTGGAACACTTGAATCACATGATATGGAGGGGATTGGGACACCTGAATCACATGATTAGGAGGGATTGGAACACCTGAATCACATGATATGGAGGGGATTGGGACACCTGAATCACATGATTGGGAGGGGATTGGAACACCTGAATCACATGATATGGAGGGGATTGGTACACCTGAATCACATGATATGGAGGGGATTGGAACACCTGAGTCACATGATATGGATGGGATTGGAACACCTGAATCACATGATATGGAGGGGATTGGAACACCTGAATCACATGATATGGAGGGGATTGGAACACCTGAATCACATGATATGGAGGGGATTGGAACACCTGAATCACATGATATGGAGGGGATTGGAACACCTGAATCACATGATATGGAGGGGATTGGAGCACCTGAATCACATGATTGGGAGGGGATTGGAAAACCTGAATCACATGATTGGGAAGGGATTGGAACACCTGAATCACATGATATGGAGGGGGGGATTGGAACACTTGAATCACATGATATGGAGGAGATTGGTACACCTGAAATCACATGATATGGAGGGGATTGGTACACCTGAATCACATGATATGGAGGGGATTGGAGCACCTGAATCACATGATTGGGGGGATTGGAAAACCTGAATCACATGATATGGAGGGGATTGGAGCACCTGAATCACATGATTGGGAAGGGATTGGAACACCTGAATCACATGATATGGAGGGGATTGGTACACCTGAATCACATGATATGGAGGGGATTGGAACACCTGAATCACATGATATGGAGGGGATTGGAACACTTGAATCACATGATATGGAGGGGATTGGGACACCTGAATCACATGATTAGGAGGGGATTGGAACACCTGAATCACATGATATGGAGGGGATTGGGACACCTGAATCACATGATTGGAGGGGATTGGAACACCTGAATCACATGATATGGAGGGGATTGGTACACCTGAATCACATGATATGGAGGGGATTGGAACACCTGAGTCACATGATATGGATGGGATTGGAACACCTGAATCACATGATATGGAGGGGATTGGAACACCTGAATCACATGATATGGATGGGATTGGAACACCTGAATCACATGATATGGAGGGGATTGGAACACCTGAATCACATGATATGGAGGGGATTGGAACACCTGAATCACATGATTGGGAGGGGATTGGAACACCTGAATCACATGATATGGAGGGGATTGGAGCACCTAAATCACATGATATGGAGGGGATTGGAGCACCTAAATCACATGATATGGAGGGCGGGGCCAATACTTTGGCCAATCTAGTGCATATAGAACATTCCGGTATTACTCACCCATACTCCAACGCCAATCGCACAAAGCCCCGCCTTCGGCTCAGAATGAGGGTTGTCACCCCCGGCTGGCAGGATAAGGACTCAGCGGCGCCACCTATGACAATAACCACGGCGTTGCCACGCCCCTTCTGGGACAGAGTATATCCAATCGCTTTTTTTGGGTCACCGGGCACAGGGCCTGGGGGGGGAGACACAACGGGGTGAGATCACATGATAAAACACAGCTGAGCCACATTTTGACTGCCCTCACCCCCAACTGCTCCCCTAAAAGCTGGCCGGGGGGGGGGGGTAAAACAGTGAAATGCCTCTGAAAAGTGAGTTAAGCACGGATCGCTGTTCGGAGGAGCAGCTCGTGTAGTCAGGTCATTTCCCGCCTATGGGGCATCTTTACGCTGGTCACATGACCTCTGCCCCGGGTTTCCTGTCTCTGGGTGTCTCCTTTCGCCTGCAGCATCCTGTGGAGTCACCCTTGTAGGCGGGGACTAGAGCTGTGTCTCCCTGCACTGTGCGCATCAATAGAAACACACAGCCTAGGATGACAAGGCGCCCCCCTGATCCTACTCCCTCCCCCTCCTCCCCCGTCCTCCCCCCTCTCAGGTGGGCTGTGGACTGCACTGTCCACTTTTAACCCTTTTTCCTGTGAAGACCAGAAGTTCAGGGAAGCAGCACTGAGGGAGCAGGAGCCAGCAGCACTGAACGTTCATAACGCTCCTTGAAGGCAGGGACTAGAGTTGTGTCTCCCAGCGCTGTGCACATCAATAGAAACACACAGCCCCATAGCCTAGGATGACAAGGCGTCCCCCCTGATCCTACTCCCTCTCCTCTGCCCCCCGCCCCCCCTGACCCCGTCCTCCCCCGTCTCAGGTGGGGTGTAGACTGCACTACCAGAAGTTCAGGGAAGCAGCACCGAGGGAGCAGGAACCAGCAGTAAAACGTTTTGAAAAAAGAAATAAAACTAAAAAAAAAGGTCCAGTATTTATAAAGCTTGTCTGAGAGTACAGAAAAAAAAAAGGGGGGCGGAGAGCTGAAATGACACACTGCAGAGTTCAGTGAGGAGAGTTCTGAGAGCTGATTGGAGGGAAGGGACACCTCCCCCCTACACACGGCTCACAGGAGCAGAGCTGAGGCTGTCAATCAGGCTGGAGCTCCTCCCCCTGTCACCATTTATCTCTTGGTGTCAGAAGTGAGAGGAAGGAGGCGGCAGACACGCAGTTTGGTGCGTTTTTGCCACGTTTTTTCTGCGTTTTGAGATTTTTTTTTCTTGTTGCCGGGCAGATTAAAACGCAAAACACCTCAAAAACGCACCAAAAATGCCCTCCATGTTTTCTGCAGCAGCGTCTCCATTGAAGTCTATAAAACAAAAAAGTCCCCGCCCCCTTTCTAAAAATCGCAGAAATGTGAACCCGTCCCATAGGAGACCACGATAAATGTGCTGCGCTGCTGTAAAACACTGCAGGATACTCATGGGTGTGACCCTGGACTTATGCAACTTGTCGTGCGACTTTGGGGGCCACAAATCGCAGGACAGGTGGCCCCCCCCCCCCCATGTTTCCCAATGGGTACCATTCATTTCTGTGCGACTTCAAAATAGTTCCTGCACTACATTGGTCCGACTTTCCTGCGATTTGAGGGCCACAGACTTCAATGTAAACCCTCCGAAGTCGCACCTGAATGTTGTGCGTGCGTCTTGTGTGCGACTTTTTACAACAGAAACAATTATCATCGGTCGAAGCCAAAGTCACACTAAAGTCACACTCATCCAAAGTCGCACTAAATTCGCATTAAAGTCGCTCTAAAGTCGCACCCATCCAAAGTTGCACTAAAGCTGCACTCATCCAAAGTCGCACAAAAGTCACACAAAAGTCACACCAAAAGTCGCACTCATCCAAAGTCGCACTGAAGTCGCACACATCCAAAGTCGCACAAAAGTCGCACTAAAGTCGCACAAAAGTCGCACTCATCCAAAGTCACACTAAAGTCGCATTAAAGTCGCACAAAAGTCACAATCATCCAAAGTCGCACAAAAGTCACACCAAAGTCGCACTCATCCAAAGTCGCACTAAAGCTGCACTCATCCAAAGTCGCACAAAAGTCACAATCATCCAAAGTCGCACTAAAGTCGCATTAAAGTCGCACAAAAGTCACAATCATCCAAAGTCGCACAAAAGTCGCACTAAAGTCGCACAAAAGTTGCACTCATCCAAAGTCGCACTAAATTCGCACTCATCCAAAGTCGCACTCATCCAAAGTCATACAAAAGTCGCACAAAAGTCGAACTCATCCAAAGTCGCACAAAAGTCGCACTAAAGTCACAATCATCCAAAGTCATACAAAAGTCGCACAAAAGTCGAACTCATCCAAAGTCGCACAAAAGTCGCACTACAGTCGCACAAAAGTTGCACTCATCCAAAGTCGCACAAAAGTTGCACTCATCCAAAGTCGCACTAAATTCGCACTCATCCAAAGTCGCACTAAATTCGCACTCATCCAAAGTCGCACAAAAAGTCACACCAAAGTCGCACTCATCCAAAGTCATACAAAAGTCGCACTCATCCAAAGTCGCACTAAAGTCGCACTCATCCAAAGTCGCACTGAAGTCGCACAAAAGTTGCACTCATCCAAAGTTGCACTAAAGTTGCACCCATCCAAAGTCGCACAAAAGTCGCACTCATCCAAAGTCGCACAAAAGTCGCACTCATCCAAAGTAGCACAAAAGTCGCACTCATCCAAAGTCGCACAAAAGTCGCACTAAAGTCGCACAAAAGTCGCACTCATCCAAAGTCGCACAAAAGTCGCACTAAAGTCGCACAAAAGTCGCACTCATCCAAAGTCGCACAAAAGTCGCACCAAAGTCGCTCCAACATCGCACTCATCCAAAGTCGCACTGTAAAGTCGCAATGAAAATCGCAGGCTTTAGAAGTCGCACAAGTATGAATGGCCCCTCAGTGCTCCGGACTGAGACCAGCTCACACTACAGAGGGATGGGCCTTGTTCCTCTTTCACATCTGAGGTTCACCACTCATAACCCCGCCCACAGAGGACAGGCTCCGCCCCCTAGGGGCCGCGCAGAGGTGGGAGGTGAAGAGGACCCCCATCCCCCCTCATCCATTCATCAGACATCCCTGCACCCACCTCCGCTCATCATGTACTCGCGCAGGATCGGGAGTCGGAAGTTTCCCGCGAGCGTCGCCAGGTGCGGCCGAACTCCCGGGAATTTCTGCGAGAAGCCGGTGGATTCCGTCACGAAGTTGCAGAAGGCTCCGATGCAGAGGATTCCGTGCGGATGAGAGCCGATGATGTAATTGCGCCCCGCAGGGAGGGGGTGGGTCTTCACCAGCTGCGGGGACGGGAAGGTGACAACGTGAGCGACGGGAAGAGACATGCAAATCCAATCGCTGAAAACTCGCTTTCTGCAGCTCGGACTCCCCGGGATCCCACCATGGAGGTCCTTGTTCAGGCACTTCCTGTTATAGGGTGACAACGCCCTGTCCCTGTCTACCAAATGTGCCTCTGTGTTGTCACCCTGGTGTGCAGGAGTGAGGGGGAGGAGCCAGTGCATCTGCGCAAGACTGAAGGGGAGGAGCCGGTACACCTGTGCAAGACTGAAGGGGAGGAGCCGGTACACATGTGCAGGACTGGAGGGGAGGAGTCGGTACACCCTGTGCAGGACTGGAGGGGAGGAGTCGGTACACCTGTGCAGGACTGGAGGGGAGGAGCCGGTACACCTGTGCAGGACTGGAGGGGAGGAGCCGGTACACCTGTGCAGGACAGGAGGGGAGGAGCCGGTACACCTATGCAGGACTGGAGGGGAGGAGTCGGTACACCTGTGCAGGACAGGAGGGGAGGAGCCGGTACACCTGTGCAGGACTGGAGGGGAGGAGCCGGTACACCTGTGCAGGACTGGAGGGGAGGAGCCGGTACACCCTGTGCAGGACAGGAGGGGAGGAGCCGGTACACCTGTGCAGGACAGGAGGGGAGGAGCCGATACACCTGTGCAGGACTGGAGGGGAGGAGCCGGTACACCTGTGCAAGATAGAAGGGGAGGAGCCGGTACACCTGTGCAGGACTGGAGGGGAGGAGGCGGGACACCTGTGCAGGACTGGAGGGGAGGAGCCGGGGACACCTGTGCAGGACTGGAGGGGAGGAGCCCGGACACCTGTGCAGGACTGGAGGGGAGGAGCCGGGACACCTGTGCAAGACTGAAAGGGAGGAGCCGGGACACCTGTGCAGGACTGGAGGGGAGGACAGAGGAGGACACAAAGTTCAGGTATAACACACACTGTACAATATTCTGAGACTGAGATACCTGTATAGGGAAGTAATCCCGAAAATGCTTCCAGAGGGACCAACTCCGCACCCAATCACTGCGCCGACCCCCTATAGACAGAAAGGAAACATCAGACAATTCTCCCCATGTTCTGCATCCATACACCCTGATCACAGGGAAGGACAGCGCCATCTTTGTTCTGGTATCATCCAGGATCACCATCTACTTCCTGGGCGGAGGTGACACAATCATGTGAATCCTGGTGCCTGTGCAGTTCTTGGTGTTCACAAATATCTGACACAGATCAGCCCCTGCTGCCGCCTCTCACCTTGTGACTTGCTACAAAGGTACAATGTACAGTCTGATCACTGGGGGAGGGGAGACTGAGGAAATGCCTCCTCCTCCTTCTACAAAGTTACAATGTACAGTCTGATCACTGGGGGAGGGGACTGAGGAAATGCCTCCTCCTCCTTCTACAAAGTTACAATGTACAGTCTGATCACTGGGGGAGGGGACTGAGGAAATGCCTCCTCCTCCTTCTACAAAGTTACAATGTACAGTCTGATCACTGGGGGAGGAGACTGAGGAAATGCCTCCTCCTCCTTCTACAAAGTTACAATGTACAGTCTGATCACTGGGGGAGGGGAGACTGAGGAAATGCCTCCTCCTCCTTCTACAAAGTTACAATGTACAGTCTGATCACTGGGGGAGGAGACTGAGGAAATGCCTCCTCCTCCTCCTACAAAGTTACAATGTACAGTCTGATCACTGGGGGAGGAGACTGAGGAAATGCCTCCTCCTCCTTCTACAAAGTTACAATGTACAGTCTGATCACTGGGGGAGGGGAGACTGAGGAAATGACTCCTCCTCCTTCTACAAAGTTACAATGTACAGTCTGATCACTGGGGGAGGGGACTGAGGAAATGACTCCTCCTCCTTCTACAAAGTTACAATGTACAGTCTGATCACTGGGGGAGGGGACTGAGGAAATGCCTCCCCTGCCTGCAGCAGACTGATGACTTATGGATGGAGGAGTGTTTTGTACAGAAGACCCCGGCGCTGTATTGGTGGGATGGGGGGATTCTTCCTGGAGACGGGGGGTCACTGACAGGTCCTCTTTCATGGTCGGGTACAATGTGAAGATCTGTGGGCGGCGTATTTCCCATCATTCTACAGGTGAGACGTTACCTGCTTCAGGTGTGTCCCAGTCCAGGAGGAGCCAGCTCAGGTACGCGGCCGAGACCAGCCAGAGGTGGGTGAAGAAGAGGTAAGTGAAGGTCAGCAGGAAACAGCAACCCTGGGGAGGAGACGGGGGAGGAGTCATGATCACACATGGGAGGAGTCATGGTCTGCAGATCACTGATGTCATACTATAACCAATGAGCGACCCACACGTTTCTGGGGGGAGGAGCCCCTTCTTCAGGGCTGCAGGACACGCCCGAGATGTACATCACCTGACTAGAGAGCCCAGCGC